AAGCAAGAGTCTATTTAGTTGTTCTTTGAGCTCTTATTACTGAATATTTCTGTAGCTTGCAAATAAACTTCCCTTCTTCACCTGTATCTGGGGGTTTTTGTGACAGCACAGATGATATAAAGGAGTAGGGAGGCCTTGCTGACAGCCTGTGAAGAGAATTAGTGCTCATCTTTTCAGAAGTCTTGCAACTTCTTTGGACTAATTGCAAACTCAGATAAGAAGTCAAGAGTTATTCATTCCTCGACATTTTATTTTCCTTCTCCATTCACCAGACTAGGGCTGCTGAAGTTTTATTTCAAACACAAAAAATTGGTAAAAGTCATAGGTTATGTTGGAAAGACTGAAGCCCAGGGAGAGAAGTGTCTGCGAGTCTCTGAAGGAACTCACTATTTAGGGTATTTCTTGTAGTAAAAAGTACTGAAAGAGAGGTCTGCCTGGATCCTTTGTTGTGTGGGCCATCTTTAGAATTTGGCAAAGAAGTTTAATTCAGACAGCAGTACATCATTGCAAATACTGTGATATATAAATATTTATTTAACATTTGCTAAATGTTATCATGTTTTGGTGGCATTTCTTAGGCTTAGTTAAAATCCTCACATAAAATCAAGAAGGTAGATTCCATTTGTATTTTTAATTTTGCTGGTGAGTGTCAAGGAGAAAAAACTCATCAGAAGGAAAATTAAGGCTTTCAGGCTGGTTTTATACCTTATAAACATGGGAGATTGGAGTCTGAAAAACAGCTACAAAATCACTATTAAGTACCTACTGGGAAAAGTTATATTTTGTCTCCTGTGGAACTATTCTGAAGGTTTTCTGTCCACACCGTTGGCTCTTAGAGTTCAGATTGAAAATGGTGTTGCTATTAATTGCGGGGGTTTAAGCTTTGTGCTTGTTTTGTATTGCCTTGTAATGAATATAATTGTAACCAGACCTTTCTCCTACTTATTTATAGTCTGTGAGGTGCAGTTGTTCTAAACATAACCTAAAGTTAGTGTTAGCCTAAAGATTTTTCTTCAGGCATGTTAAATCAAGAGAAGTATTACAGCCCTGTCATGAGGAAGGGTGTCTGCCTCTCCACAGTTAAAGCAAATAGACATTGTTGGTAGCAGAATGTGCATGTAAAGACAAACTTGTTTGTCATAGCCTAATCAGCACTTGTGGGTGACATTCCTGACAATATTGCTGCAGGTTAAGTAGTTTTAGTGCCACCTTTTCCTTGATATCTTCTGTGAGAAATTTTTGTTGATCTTTGGGAGTTCACCTGCTGCACATGACTTCAACATTTTACCAAATTTTTCTCTTCCTTTATCCTGTTTTTTTTTGAGTCAAACATTCAGACAACATGGTTTTACAAACATGCTACCAAATGCTTGGGGGTTTTTGCACAAAAATAATTATTTGTTCAGTGCAATCAGGATTTCCAAAAATAAAACACAGATAAAATATATGTACATAAAGGTTTAGGTAACTGACTTTTGGCTGTTAACTCTTTACATTATTTTGCACCAGATTTGACTCATTAAAATATTTCAGGAAAAAATCTCTGTCCAAAACCCCCCATATAATAAGCAGTCTTTTTTTCAAACACCCAGTGAGTGTTTGGCTTATTTCTTTTGTTCAGAGTTCAGCATTTCTTGTACTGCCAGACTGCCCATGTGTAGCATTCTTGGGGATGTTTTTAGTGAGTGGCAGCAGCATTTAGTTGCCATTACTGGCTGTTGAATGAGGCTAAACATGTAAAATTAAGAAATAAATTAGAAAAGTTGAGTGTCCTTTTTTCACCTTGTTTTCTCTTTTTGCTTCTACTACAGCTTTCCAAATTTTATGGCCTTTAAAATAAGATGTATGTGTTAATATCTGTTTACATGCTCCCACAAAGAGTCCAATAATCACTAGTTAACAGTGTATGTGAGTTCTTGACTATCCCAGTGTGAATGTGAATATTAGGCTATGCTAAAAATAGTGTAATGAATCAACTACAACTGCCTTTAACTGTTACCAGATAGAAAGAGTTAACTGAAGTAAGGACTACTGCAGGGCAGGTCAGTGACCATAGGTAGCTATCTTGAATGACTATGTAGTAAAAAACTATGAAGTATCAAAACAGTGTTTATATTTTTCATCTTTCCTTCTTTGTGGAGATGTATTCTTATGCTAAGACAGAAGAAGTTAAAATGAGATTGGGGAAAAAATAATTGTTTCAAATCTATCTGGAGTAATGACTTTAGTATTAGCTTACAGTCCAATAGGTTTCTTTCTTCAAATAAGTTTTACATTTTTTTGTTGGTTATTCATGCATCTCTGTTTTCACCAGTGTAAGGCATATAAACTTACCTGTTTACCCAGTGGCTCATCAATAGAATAATGACAGAGAGGAGGGGCTTGCAGTTGCAGAGATCCAGACAGGAATATCCATATGAGTTCTGAAATGTTCTGCCACTCCACCCAGTCTGGTGGAGGTATATTAACTATATTAACTACTATTATTAACTATGTTCTAGTTAATATACCTCTCTGTATGTCTGTGCCACTGCAGCTGAACACAAATTATCTGCAGGTTCTGAAGAATATACCTGAATTTCCTGCTCCCACATGAACTAGGCAGTCTAGCAGGAAGCACTGTCATTGTGGCAGCCTTCTCCAGCTGCCTGGGAGAAGATTTCTGTCAGTTAATTCCATGTTTCAAGACCTTGGAGCTGACTTTTGAGAAGGGCTCAGAAGCAGCATGAGCAGGCACAGCTAGGCTGAACATAGACCTTCACATTTTCCCGCTGTGAAATTACAACATTCAGCTTTATACATCAAAATAAATTAGGCCAATGAGAAGAAAGAAGAAATTAAAGCAATCATTGATAGTTATACTAATACTTTTGGGTTTCCTTCCTGTTAATAGAATGACACTTCTTTTACAGCAAAATGGGGAGAGAGGATTTGCCCTTCAAGTCAACCAAAAGTCTATTGCTTTAATTCCTTATTACTGCCTTTTTTTGGCCTTCAGCATCAGTCACAGTGTTTACCAGTGAAAGTCCCAACCCATACACCAAATAACAATTCAAGAGCTACTTAATCTATGGAAAAGTAACTGAGACTGTCTTTGTATTTGACTGAAGCACTGTGGGGAACTAAGAACTGGACTGACAAATTAGACAAAAGATATTACTAATCCTATTCACTGTACACTGTTTAATATGTATGAAGAGGATTTATAACCAGTTTCTGAAGAGTTACTTTATCATTGGTTTCATTTGTAAAGAAAAAAAGTAGAACTATTTTGCAGGAGACTTTTTCTCTGTTTTTTGCTTCCAGAGTTTGCTTGCCTATATCCTGTCTTCTGTTGACAAAGAATCACTTGATGGGAACTGGAGTAGTGTGTTGATCCTCTTGGTATCCTAGTAGGGCTCTTATAGCAACATTTATTATCATCCTTTTCAAATGTTATTCAACTGCCCAAACGCCAGCTTACTTACATGATCTCAAAATAAAAGAGGTTTTTATCTCAGGAAAGTTAAATAAGCACAGGCAAAACTAAAACAGATTTCTGCTGTACATGGTTTGGTCAAATAATGAGAAGCTGTAAGAACTTATATTTGCCAACTAAACATCCAAATACCAGGAAAAAAAAAAGAATATATTTTCAGATGCATAAACTTAAGAATGTGTTTGTAAAGAAGAAAAAGCAATCAGGAGATAAGACCTGCTGGATTTAGGTCATTCCTGGGCTTATCCTGTGGTCATTGGACTAGCAAAACAGCCATTGAAATAATTCAGAGCTGCTTAATAAATGAGTCAAAAATTTTGTTCTGATCCAAAGCCAATTGAAGACAACAGAGAGGTGGGGTTGTTTTTTGTTTTGTTTTGTTTTGTTTTTACTTTTATTTAAATGATTTTGTTCATGCTCTGCATTTTATAAATACACATAAGAAAGGCATGTTTCTATGGATGAACCTAAGAGTCTTAAAAATCAAAGTCTTAGTGAAAATCAATGGGACCTAAGTTTCTGAATAATTTTGAACCTTTAGGATGAGCAACCTCACTACCCAATTCTACCTAAAATGCTTAGAACTGCTTTTATCATTACATATTCAAGCAAAATATAAATGTATTAAAGTCATTAATGGAAACACATTATTCATAAAATATGTTGGTTTTGTCCTTCCCCAAATCAATCACTAAACCAAAAATAATTTAGTTCCTAGGAAGCAACCCCTACTTGCTTTATTGCATGGAAATGGTGTTATATACACTGTTGCCAAAACTGTTCCACCATTCCGTGTACTTTACTGAGACATTTTTCTCAACACCAGCATAACATTAAATTTCAATACCAAATTTCCTTGGAGCTTCTCTATTTTGCTGAGGGAGCATCTATATTTGACAATATACAAGTGAAAAAATATAGTTTGTCTTGATGCTACTGTGAGTCAGCTCAAGAAATGAGAAGAATACTCTCCTTTTGTCTTGTGAATAGCTTAGGTAAGCACAGCATACCATCCTTTCATTATGGAAGACTGAGACATACTGTAAGTTTTTGTCCAACTGGGGTCTCTGTATACACACATCTTTCATTGTTGTGTTTCCAAGACACATGATAGCATTTGAAGTTTCTATTGTTTTCATGATAACATTTTCATTGCAAAGTTTTTTACAATTTTTTCTCTCTCCTTTCTGTTTTTTTTCTTTCATCTATTTCTTTTTAGATAGTCTATCTGAATGAAGTGAAAAATTAAACTATATAATACAGCCTTATTATAGGCAGAACTAAATGAAGATGATATGATGAGATAAATTGCTGAAGGTTAATAGCTTTTTAAAAATCAATCTTCCTTACAAAGGAAAAGGGTAAATGGCTTAGTGGATGAAGCCTTGGCCTCTCACCTTTCTGACCATAGTTCAAGTCTAAACTGTGAGGGTCCTGAGTTGCATGCTTTACTGGGCTGAGATCAGTCTCTAGTGGGCAGGAGTCTGCATTACAAGATTCATGCGTGTATTTTTCCATACAGGCAGCAGCAGCACAAGAAGCTGATGGAGACTGCTCTGTAATCTCCCCGAGCAGTGAGGCTGATGGACCAAAGTTAGTGTCACCCTGCACAAAGCACAGGGACATTCCAGCTGGCAATCCTCTGAGCTGTCTACATGTCATGCCCTGGCTATGGACTCAGAATTCCAGAGCATCTCACAGCGTTTTGTCAGCAATATATCTAATGGTCTCCACTTAACAAACAAAAATTAGGTGACTTTTTAAATAATTATTAGCAGATTACTAGAGAGCTTTAATAATCATAATTGATCATTTTTCATATCAAGTTCAGGCAAAGAAATAATTTATCTCAACTGTTATTCATAAGGAAGGCAAAAATTCCGAGAACAAAATAATTGAAGTGTCAATTAGGAAGTTTAAGTAAAAGTGGAGAAATTAAAAAAATCCCAACATTTCTAGCATAATTTATTAGCATGTTAATCAAGTTTTAATCAGATATTAGTCTGATAATTTATGTATTCCCATCAGTCATGTGCATGAAATGACTACTAAATAAGCTTCTTTCTGATTTAGTTTTAATAATATGTTTTAATAGAAAAGCACGCTGCATTCTGAGCAGCAAAATGAGCAATCCAGACTGTCTACTGAATAAACATACAAGGAACACACATAAAAAGAGCTTTCAGTTACAGAAGCTCTTGCAAGCGTGATTTTTGTAAGCAAAGATATGCTCCCTTGAGGCCCAACTAAAAGCAGAATTTCTTAATCTTATAGGAAATTTCATTTTCTAAGCCAAAACAATGTAGGAAATGCTTGTTATTTAAATGTGGAAGGAAAGTGTTTTGGTTCACCTGTTTGGCCCTTGCAGCAAGATATACAGAGTCTTGTGTGAAAGTATTCAGTTGTGGGTCTGTGTATTGTGGATGTTTTGAATAAGCTTAAAATCAGATTTATAAAAGTGTGTTCTTGCTACTAAAAACACTGGGCATGCTTGTAGGGATTAATAATTAATATACAAATATAATTTGAAAGTAATGTGTATGCTAAGACTTAGGACTTGATTGTATGTTAAAATGTGCACACATTCATGACACTCCCATACTCATCCCCGTGCTTTTTAATGATTATTTCTCACTGTTAATTCAAAACACCTGCAAGCCCCTTTGTTTTGATCAAAGCACTTTTCCTCCCTTGAGACTGATGGATGGCTTTGTAATTTGTGAGGTAATATGTTAAAGGTCAGGAGTTAATATGTCCTATGGAACTTGCTCTTCTTCTTGCCTTATTCTCCCAAATAGGCTTATTTTTCTGTGTATCTGGAATCCCTGTTCATATATACACTAAATGTATGTGTGCTCACACTTAGGCATGTGTTTATGTGTGTGCATCTCAGGTTGTACATATATATATATAAATGCACAGAGTAACCTTTAAGAAAATTTTATGTAATACTTCTCTTTGTAACAACCTATTGCTGTTTGTACCAAGCATTATTCTTCTTCTTTTTAAAAGTAAAATACCCACAAAACATGCATTTACTTTCAGCTATAGAAAATGCTAATAATGCTTTTAGAATGGTCTTTAAAAAGTCTAATTATATCATTTAAAAATGGAGAGACCAAAGGGCAAGCTAAATTCTCCTAACATAAATCAGACTTTTTTATTTCAATGACTTTAAAAACCTCAAATGCAGTAATTTTAATAGCAATGAAAGAATGAATAAGTCATAACTCCGCCTGATCACATAACTGTCTATAACTGTTATTAAATGCTCCAAAATAAGTGAACTCATTATGTTTCTGCACTGCTTTTAGCTAATCTAAGATTCTGCTCACTTAATCATGCAGAAAAGGCTTTAGCACAGTTTTAGACCCTCAGCAAGGTCACTTCAATGCCTTTTTTTTTTTTTTTCTGTTCTGCACTGATCATTTAAGAACAGCACTTTGACCCGAAACTGATGATCTCTCATATAAGCTTGAATGCTTAACCCCGAAAGGGCTGTGTTTCAGATGTACATTTGCACAGCCTATTGTCATATTTGCTGCAAACTGAGCCAGACTCTCCTTTCGGGAAAGGAGGAAATGCCAATCAGAATTTGTAGATGTTGTGTGCATGATGAAAGTACATTTTATGATACCTTCAGAGATTTGAAGTGAATTTTAAAACACATGCTCCTTCTATGGACTCTTTAATGAGTTTTAATTGTCTCTAAAATTATGGCAGCTGCATGGTGTTTCTTACTGTATGTTTCTCTCAGACAATATATAAATCTTATATATAGAACTTTCCCAGAAATATAATTCATTTAGGCATGATAACCCCTTTAGACAACTCTTGCCTACAGCGAAACTGTAAACACATCCAAAAGCTAAGGAATAAATGTTGTCCCTTCTTTTCTTCATGGTGCCTGTGCTACAAAGCAAAGTACATTTTAATGTCAGTGAAGGAGTCTTCAGAAATCACAAGCAGAGGTGAAGTCCTACACCACTGTAGCTAATGCAAAAAACTCTTATTGATTCAGTGGCAGCAGGCTTGGGCTTTGAATCACAAATGAAGGCTGTAATTCTCAAATGCTTGTAAACATGCTGAGCTTTACTCATCTGGTTTGTGCTGTTGATATCAGCAGGATGGCTTCATCTGAGTAAAGTTGCAGAAAACTTAATCCCACAGGCATTTATTTCCTTATGTGCACTTACCTTTCTCTCCTCATTTGGGCACAGAGTCAGAAGGAGGAATAACGAAGCCATAGCACATATGCAGTGTTTATCAGGGCTATTATAAAGGAAATCATCATCCAGCAACATCATCTTCTCTACACATGGTGAACAAAGTTGTCCTTTATGGTTCTAAAAGATCTTTTCCAAAATACTCTCTTTTTCTTCTTTTTCTTTGTTTTATTTTAAAGGCAGAATGTGTTAAGCATAGATGAGAAAACATTCATGTATTTCCCCCATATATTTTCTGAATCTTAGCAATACAAAACCAATTTTTTATTACATTTAATTACTAGTGAGAATAAGAATATAAGAAAATAAATCACAAGGACAGCATTCAAATTACGCAGTGCAGCTTTTCCAGCTACCATGGAAAAGCTGTAGCAGTGCTTACATGCAAAGCACTGTGCCCTTCCAGTCACTGGTCCCCCACACTTTGCTGTGAAATGAAATTATCTTCTTTTCTACAGATACAAAACATACTCTGTGATTGTATAATTTATGGCCATCCAATGCTGCCTGGGGTTAGAGTCATAAAATCTAGACTGTAGGTCTAATATGGTTCTTCCTCAGAGACAGTGTTTGTGGGAAGAAGCCCTCCCTGCCTCCAGCCCAAAATGGGGAATGGGAGCATTATGCAAAGGCATTTACACATCATGGCACTGTATTTGTTCTTCAGACTGCTTGAAGAGCAAGGACATGTAAAATGGTATCATCACTCTCTCAGACTGGTGGATGGGTGCCTTTACAAAGGAAGTGTGTTTTTCAGCTGGAAAGATACTTTTCCATGTAATGCCATAGATCTTATGGCTCTCACTGCTCCTCTGAGCCTTGCATTGGCCATGCCTGTTTGGGAGACACAAGTGGTTGTTTAGAGGTAGCCTGTGGTGTTAAACTATAAACTTTGCAAGTCACAGACTATTCAGTGTTTATATTGTGCCTAAATACAACTAGTCCCAGGCCTACAACTACTACTGCAATGCACTTGATGTAAAGGCAATCTAGTAATTCCCAATGTTACAATGTACTTTGGTATATAATAAATTAGTATTGTTGTATTTTATGGAAAGACCAGCATAAGAATTGCATTATAAATATTTTACAACAGAGCAGCAGGTTCAAAAAAGCAAAAAAACCCAAACAAAAACACAAAAATACCCCACCAAACCAAATAAATAATGAATAACCCTTCAACTGGTTGTAGAATAATAAAATAATATTATGTTTTAATATTGTTTGCTTTACGACAATTAATATTTAATTAAAATGTAAATTTTGGTTCATGCTATTTAGATAAATGCTTGAACCTTGAATTGGTGCTCCCTTTCTCATTTTAGATAAGAAAGTGTACAAACAAAGGTTTGAGGGAGACAATATGCTCAAGAAGAGGAAGGAATCTGCCCAGTTTCCATTGGAAAGGTGTTGTACTCAGAGACCCATTTTTCTGCTGCTTCTGTCATGTCCATTCAGGAACTTCAAAAAATGTGTTTGGTGAATTGTGTAACCAGGGGTTTGCAGGGCCCTTTGCTGTTGTTGTGCCCTGTCCCACATTCTGTCTGTGAAATAAGGCCACTGAAGCACTCAAACAAGTCAGATTCATACTGCCCCATTCTGCATATGATAAATTATTGTGACACCATGGTACAGCCACTGGGCAGTGCCTCAGAATCACTGCTGCGAGGAGAATCTCTTCTATTTTTTAAGCATCTGTACAGAGTAGTTTTTTACTGAGAAAACAAAATCCAGCTGCTTAGAAGCAAGAAAAGACAAATCTTGGACTGAATAAATAAAGGCTAAATATTACTGCTAGAATGGCAAATGAAGAGATTTTCTACAGGAAAGTACAAAGCAAAATCCCATTCTAAGCATTTCAGAATATATGCAGTATCTGCATCCAAATCAGAATTGCATAAATATTCACATTCTTAATTCAATATCTCTAAATCCCAAAATCTGATGAGTGTGTGTGTGCTTGTGTGTGTGTGTGTGTGTGTGTGATGTTAATGGGGGAGGAGGAATTCTACCACATTTCATTTCTGTATTTTGCCTCTTGAGTCCACCTGAGATTTAGGAAATGCTTTAGGGCCCGCCAATAAGCAATTCTGCTAGTAAAATTACCACATTCACATGGTAATGATTTATGAGGACATAGCATTATTTATGCATAATTGCATAAGTGCTGTGTATTAGCAATCATGTTCATAACCCCCAATGTTTAGCACATTTTTGCATGAATTATTATGCATGTGAAATACTGTGAAGATGTTTTAAAATATTATAAAGTATTTTCTCCTAATAAACATGTTTGCAAATATCCAGACTGGCCTGTGAATTAAAGCAGGGTGAGAGGCATGAATCTGTATTTATTAAAGTCAATGTGATTCCAAAAGGAATCACATCAAATTCTAAAACCTGGTTTTTGTCCCCTGAAGGATT